AGCATTCAGCACTATCGACAGCTACAGCTGCTCGAGAATATTTTCCCAATATAGATGAACCATTGATAACATAAGTTTCATGACTAGAGCTACAGACACCCTCGTGGATAGCTGAATTACTTGTACCTATAGCAATGGAATACAGCGTCGATAAAGTCATCGGAAAGCTTAGGTCTGTGTAAAAATTGATAGCTCCATTAATGTGTGAATCGAAAATCAATTCAGAACAAAATGTTAGAGTTAGTTCCGAATGTTATTGTGAAACTATTTTCGTTTGAAATCTAACATGCGGTACTGTGTACGAACAGATTAGGAATTTACAGAATCACTGCAATGCACTTTTCAAATTTTCATTCATAGCAAATAAATAAACAGTATGAGAAGTTAATAGGCACGTTGATAGGAGCTCAAAAATTATCTACACAAGCTAATGAGTTGAGATCCTTGAAATCGAGATAGTGTTAAGATGACATTGAAAAAATACCTCTGCGAGATGTTATCTCGTTTTGCTTGTCAGAGCTCTACTCCTTTTCAAATGTTTTCATCAGAATAATATCAAGTATTTGTGAATAAAAGAAAAGTTCTCTCTGAAGACACTTCTCAACTTATGAATAGCATATAAAAGAGATGTGCTTACGTTTTCTTAAGCCTACAACAAGACCAGCAATAACACCAGCTATAGCAAGTGCAGAAACAACAGTAATAGCAAGGAGAAGTAACTGTCGTCTAAATATAAATAGAAAAAACGCGTATAAATAATCAATTTAATTATAATTAAACAAGAAGGAGTAAAACTAGAACCTATCGTTGTTTATCGAGATAATAAATAATATTCAATAGAGTGACAAATTCTATACTTTTAAACGAACAATCGTCATGGAATGAAAACAATTCACTGAAACTAATCAAATGATATGTGCTTGATGGTCATATACAACGACGGAAATAAGCAAACAGATTTATTTTCGCTTTTTAAAAATGCATTTATTCACAAATCGATAAACTCTTTTCAATATAATATCTATCATTGTTGTTCTATACAGTGTGTAATACGACTCCGCGTGAAATGAGATCAGATGAAAAAATAGTGAGAGTGCGAGCGCTCATAGTAGAGAGAAGACCCATATTCAAATTGTGCAGCTGAAACCCATGAATACGATATTTAAAGAAAACGATTGTAGTGTTTTAAGCAGTTAAAAAGAATCAATATATTCAATCTGATTGATATTACCTATCGACTAGTATGAATTTCGTATTATAGAGCATGAAAACGAAAATCAACGGATATAATCTTTGAATACGTAATAAGGCATAAGAGCATAATACTATAAACAAGTCAAATATTCTATGAAAATTTTACTTGTCATGCTAATTTTGATTCAGTTCTTTAATCTTTAATTAAAAAACCTATTCGATTTGATAGATTATCAAAAATAACTCGAATCGACATTTTTCTAATGTCAATATTATCACATTTTATTTTTGCTTCATTAGAAATGAACCGCGCGAATGTAGTTTCAGTAGTTCACTGTGCTTTACGATCAAAATTCATGTTATATAAATACATGAATTTTGTGCTGAAAGAAATTAGATTCCAGTCTAACATAAAAATCGTGAATCACTTTCAACATTCAAAGAAATCTTTCTGATTGTTTTAAGTTAGAAAATGTATTTAGACTTACTTGCTAGTGAAAAGACCTTTTAGAAATACCATGCTGTCGACGATGATGATAGAGGTATAAAGCTAAAATTGATCTTACTGTTTTTCTTCTTTAACAATCACTATTTTACTTCACTAATCTAAATAAAAACAATATGAAACTCCTATTATCATATCTTCTAGCTGATTGAAATGCTAGTTTAGAATAAAGGTAAAAGATAATGGCAAATATAACGACATTAAGTGTGCATCAGTATTTAGTTGTGTCTTATTCCTGCGCACAAAATCTACGAATGACATTTTCGTAGCAAAAAAAAATTTCTTAGATTATTATTTTGTTGTTTCTTCTGATAACGAAACAGTGTGAAAGCTTTATTTTACAAATTAGATAACCGATGGGAACGAAAACGAACGTTTTATTGACTACTTCAAGGAGCTATCAACCGTTTTACATCTGATAATAATATCTTCAGATTTACTAAATATCCATACGGGGTACAATAGTTGTAGCCTAGACAAATTTATATGTTGATCAAAATAGACAATATGAGCGAACGATAAGACCCAGTTGGCATAATTTTTTTGTTTTTGAATGTAGATTGTAACCTAATTAATTGCGATTGCAATAGATGATTATTTTCATGTAGAAAGTGAGACATTAATCCGAGTAGGATACAAAACATTTCGAAAGAATTTGTCCTTTTTATATTTATCGACAGAACAAAACGATTTGGTAAGCAATTGTAAAAAAATTTCATGTAGATTTTCAGTTAGACTATGTACAGTACTGGATTAAAATTTTCACAATGAATCGATTATTCGATTAAAAATGTAAAAATTTTAACAAATGCCTTTTTGCTGTCCCACGAACAGTAAGAAATCACATTACTTTTTTCTAAATAATCGATTCTTTATGAAGTAGTTTCGTGAAGATATTTATGATATACCTGTGCTAATTCCTCATATTATTCGACAAATGTTTATTGTGCAAAACTTAGCATGGACGTATCGTTTACGAATCACACTCATATTGTTCATAGTGATTGCATATGTTCTTTCGCCATTGGATATTCTACCAGAAAGTGTTCTCGGTTTTCTTGGATTCTTTGATGATCTACTTGTTACTTTTTGTGCAGCACTGTATGTTATAATTATCTATCGAGAATTCTTGTCTCGATATTAAATGTTTTTGTAAGCTAACACGTTTTTCTTACTTATTCTCGACAAAATATCTAAAATGTATATTTGNACATGATATATAAGATGTATATATTTTTGTTTTTGCGTAGTTTATTATTATTATTTTCTTTCTTTTGATGTTGCACTTGTTCATCCGTCTATTTGATAGAAACAAAGCAGGCATAATAAAAAGGCAGACACAATCGATGGTACTTACATTGGATGATATTGACAAAAACCCAGAATTGATTAGCACTACTGATTATTTTGAAGGAATATTAATTAATTTCCGTCCATTATTACTGACGGATGAGAAAAAATTAGCTCAGTTTTTAGAAAATCTAGGTCCACAAACGCGAGAATTTTCAACCCGTAATGGTTATGATTTGAATGAAGCTCGTGATTTATGTTTTGCAATAAATCGATATGATAAACTACGTCTTGTTGCTTTGATTAATAATGAGACAATCATTGCTTTATTCGAATTTAGTTTATCTATTGTTGAGAATGAATATAAACGCTTTGCAGAGAAATATGGTATCATATTAAATGAAGTAACATATATGAGATTTGGTCCGTGTATTAGTGGTCAATATCAAAATCGTCATTTTGGTTGTTGGCTGTTTGAAAAAGTAAAATCTATGTGTATGTTAATGGGTAAAGAACGTTTAATACTATGGGGTGGTGTTTTTACGCATAATAAACGTGCTATAAGATTTTACGAAAAAGTTGGATTCAGAATCTTTCAAGATAGTTATATGAATGATGGTCAATATGAATGTTTAGATGGCATTTATTATTTATTGCAATGAATAAATACATGACGATTCTATTTAAAAATGTCCGTAAATTTCTGGATATGAACCTACTTGTATTGAATACGTATCGTTACTTGTAGGTCTTCTTCCAGCACCATTTAAATTAAATTGAACATTGATGCCCCATGTTCCTGGTACAATTGTATTTTGATCAATAAGTTGAAACCTGTAAATAACAGTCGCATTCATATCAGTGATATTGTTAGTAACCGTATTAGACCAGAAGTTTGTATAAGAACTGGGACCAGATAATCCAAACGTTTTGGGTACGGTTATAACAACGAGCAGCGTTGTTAGTGAAATAGAATTGTTCAAGAATATAGTTTCAATTTGATAATAATTACTGCCTGTAATAGATATCGATGTGCTAATAGGACTAGGTGGTAAACTTGTAGTAGCAGGTATAGTTACTGGATATAGCTGAAAATGATAATTTGACTTTAGTTTGTTGAAATCGCAATATGTTTCGAGTTTCGCGTGAAGTTAAAAAAAAGAATTATTTTATTCGCAAAAATGAACAATGGCTATAAGCAATCAGATGATGAATTATCACAGATTCCTTGGAACAATTGGTGGAGTTTTATGATTTCTCATTGATTCAATGAAATTTTTGATGATGAAGAATTTTGTGTGTCAATGAACTATTCTTCTTGAAAATATCATAGAAAAAGTAAGCTATTCAGTTTCGAGTATACAATAAAAAATTTTCTACTCTAAAATACATATCTCTAAGTTATTTGAAAAACAGTATCTTTGTCTGGAATAGATTCCAAAGCCAGAAAATCTCCAGTGGTGTTTATATTTGAGGGCTTTCTTCTAAAAATTCATCGTAACAGAAAACATGTAGTAGGGTTTAAAATTCTGAGTTTTGAGATTGTCGGGCTTCATCTTTTATAGATACGGCTAATCTCGCAAAGAATCAAAGTTGGAAAGTTCGAAATGATCACACGTGTATACGAACGATTGAAAACTCAGAAGGAATTTTTGAAATTTCATAAAAGTTAGCCTCATTGTGTTTTTTATTTCTCGGAAAATAGCATTTCATCATGTACTCGAGCGAACAAAAATTGTGTTGTTCAAGTTCAATTAATGTAGTAGGCTTAGAATAAGCATCTCTACCGCACACGTGTTTAAAATAAAACTTTTGTAAAGAGAGGTGTTCTTGAAAAAAAATTAGACATTAGAGTAAAATCTCTCTATAGTAAGGAGTCTTCAGATTTTTCTCGTAGACTAGGTTCTACAATAGAAATCTGCTTCGATTGCTGGTTAGTGAACCATTCGAAAAGGAGCTGATCGATGATTTGCCCAGATTCATTGTTATACTTTGACTTTATGTCTTTGTTTGAGTTGAAAGCATAGGCAACGATTGAAAATGTTGGTCACACAATCTTTTCATATATTCTATTTGTCGACCAGTTTGACTATCTTTGATTCATACAATGTTAATGTTGATAGATTCGACGTTATGTACTCTTTCTCTTAGCATTGGTATAAAAAAAAGGACGCAAATCATAGAATGCTATTATGCATTTACTACTCTCATCTATCCAAGACAAAGTAAGTGTTCCTTCTATCTGACTCAACGTGCATGTTCTTTGCTCTTCCAACCCGATCGCTAAAGGAGAGTCATTATTTTACATGAACAATGATAACTACGTGACATTCTGTTTGAATTCTTAATCACTGTCCATTACAGAGAGACTATTTATGAGAAAAATGACCGAGGAAAAGTGCTCACTATAAGGAAATGCCAACTAGGGGAGTTTTCACTGTAGCAACTAAACCTACACGAATTAGAAAAACGAGTATTACCTTCTTCTTCAAGAAAAACAAATCAACATACCGTCGATGTATTATTGATAAAGCATACTAGAGAATTCAATTGTATTCGAAGGATAGCTTGTAAGAAATTAATATTAAATGTATAACACGAATTTGTATTCGTGTCGTATTGAAAACATGAAGTATTTTGTTGAATGAAGAAACATTGGCAAGATTCAAGCGTTAAATTACTCTGAAGAACAACATTCGATGGTAAAACATCACCAGTATTCGATGGTAAAACATCACGAGTATTCGATGGTAAAACATCACCAGTATTCGATGGTAAAGTAACACCAGCATTTGAATAACAATTCAGACTTGTACTAATGACAGTTGGAATAACCAGCAGTACACTTAAGTAAATCATTGCTTACAGGATCTTATTTGTACCTGATCTCTACAAGTATTAAAAAAAGCATTTATTGATATATATAGCCAAATGAAGCACTACTTCTGGTTTCTACTTTTCGAACCGAAAAAAGCTTCAATTCATATACTGTAATTCTTGTTGTCATATCGCGTATACAAGAACAAATGGTTCATCTCTTCCTAAGAATTCCGAGTTATTAAATAAAGTAATAATATTAACAAAATACTACATGAAACGAAGGGGAAAATCAGCAAAGGCAATTAACACTCTGTTTCTTCATCGCGTATTTCTAGAATTATTAAAAAGCATATTATGTGATAGCTCTAAAGTTAGTATTAGTCGATTTTTGACTATTATTGGTATTTGAAAAATAGTAAAAAGCATATTCTTCTATTTCACTTTTTATAAAACTATTGAGTCATCATCTCTTTTTTGTTTCCAAAATTACAAAAGTGTATGGCGGATGATTAAACTGAAAAAAATCGAAAAAAAGCAAAAAAGCTTACGACACTCGGTATTCCCAGGCGGTCACCCATCCAAGTACTAACCGAGCCCGACGTTGCTTAACTTCAGTGATCGGACGAGAACTGGTGTATTCAACGTGGTATGGCCGTAAGCATACATCAGTGCTCTATTCCATGGCATATATGTGGCTATCATACAGAGTTTTATGGGCTTTGAGAGACTCGTGAGCTCTTTTACAACTTTTACCGATCGATTTCCATAATAAAATATTATGATGTGTGGTACGCTCAAGTTCTACAAATAATTATCGTATTATGAATACTATGCAAGTGGCTCTCTATTAAGTCGAAGTCGATTTTTTTGCAAATACATGTGCATTTATAACTGAAATAAGCAGTATTGCCTACTTGTCTTCCGCCTGAAAGTAGTTTAGCTTTGTTGTATGTTATCGCTGAAAGCGATACTATAGTGCCTATAAAAAGTAGATTTTCGTGAAGGCAAGCAAGCGTCGAAAAGAGGATATTACTCAAGAAATAATTGAATTCAATACTGTGTTAGTAGAGTACATTGAACCAGCTTTTGCCATAGGCTACAGAATGAGGACGAAAACCAGAATAATCGTGTGTGATTAATATTGAGTGCAACAATTAAAATTGAAGTTTTAGTACAATGATAGTATTTAAGAACAGTCAAATCTTTTTAAATATCTGCATTCGACCAGTCATTGACTCAAATTAAGTTTCAATGAAACGCACTTCTGTATCAATAGAGATAAAATGCTACGTAACGATGGTGTATTCTAAAATTGGTGACTAAGAAATAATATCTACTATTAAATCTGGCTCACTCGTAAAGATAGAAATTGCATTCTCTAAGCACTAGTTCTTTATTTTTCTTAGGAATTATTGTCTATTCTCCTCACAGTTAAGTTTCTATTTGAGATAGGTCTGCTTATAATTTACCTGTAGTTATTTATTCGACGTTTCTTGAACTAATATAAAACTATTGTTTCTTTTTATCTTTCTCTCCTCTATTTTATATACTATGCCTTGATTAATTTTCACGTACTTACGAAGTAGTCTTATTAAGCTATTAAAAAGTTATTTTCAGAAAGATTTTATTTTCCATGAGTACTCTTACAAATCTCTTAGTGCAAAAAGATGAAAATATTGTAATAAAACTTAAAATAAAACAACTATTGTTTTACTCTTCTCATAAAGCAGAGAAAAGTAAAATTTTCATTAAATACTTCAAAATGTTTCCCATTTAGCAAAGTAATATGAATTTTGATTGATATTCAGCAGTTTTCAGTAAAGCAGAAGACGAGACAACAAAATCTGTTAAGTATATTCGAAACATGATTGGATCGTTGAAATTCGTCTCATATTCTTATCTAGATATTACATTTCGTATCCAAAATCATCAATCTTTGAGAATTTTCTTCATTTTATTACGAGACTGAGAATTGAATTTAGTTTTATTTATCATTATAATTTGCTCCTAAGGTTAGTTATCGAACATGTCGATAATGAATACGATTGGTTTTTTGTATGATTTCATTGGTAGACAGAGGTTGTTACTTAAAGTGATTTCAACAATTCTTAAACATAGCAAGTATGTTACAATTTCACACTCACTTTTTTGTTTCATCAATTTCATATCGATTGAGTTGTCAAGAACTAGACCCGTTGCATTTTATTGAGAGATCAACAAAAGTCCTTTATTATAAATTTTTTCATCTTATTTTAGCGAATTCAACGAGAATTATATACATAATTAGCTCCCATTTTAATGAGTATTGGCGGCACAATTATCTCTACATATGCATGTTGTGTAGCTATTATTCTAAATCAGTTTGAACAGTCATAGAAAAATACTTATCAAAATAAGAGTACACAAAAAAGTACTTTCTTTCTAGCGATACAATCTTTTTTCATTTTATATGCATCATCCTTATGATTGACCACTTATATTGAAGCCAACGTAGTGTGAAAAACAACAGTTTACCTTCTTTTCTGGAAGGTAGCATCATGATGATAACTGGTCGAAAAAAGTATTCGCGTGCGAAAAGAACAAATTATGTGCTTCAATGTTTAAATATTGATTCATTCACTGGTGAAATTATGCAAATTCTAATCAACAAATATGATCTATACTCAATAAAGAATGGATTTTATATAATAATAATTGATTCGAGTTTAGCCAATATCTTGATTATCATCCGTTGAAATGAATACTGTATTGATAAAAACATTGCCAACACCAATAAATAGAAGAGATTGATGTCGTCAAGATCATTCGAATAGTAATAATTATCTCAATTAGACTATCAAATGTAGTATCGATTGGTTTAATACTGGCAACTATCAAATAAATAATTCAAAGAAATTTGTTGATAAACAAGAAGAAATTATTAAAACGCGACTCGTTTGTTATTAACTTATAGCAGTCTTATGACTCGCATATTTTAACGTACAAGTAGCGCGATGTAAACGCCGCTAAGCCCACTCCTGAAAGGAGAATAATAAATAGTTATGTAATTCACAAAGGACACTAATGATCTGAAAAATATTATGCGATTGTGTTTCTAATTGATATGAAATAGCATGGGGCTTCTGAAACCCAGAGTCTGGGTTCCAAATTACTATTGTTTCGCAGTTGAGAAATAGTCCATATGAGACAACGTGTTGGTAATCCATTCTGCACAAGTTTTGGACTAATCGGACATATTAGTAGTGGCGGCGCCAGGGGTAGACTAAGCCCACCCTAAAATGCGTTGAGCCCACCCAGAAATGTTTTAATGTTTCTGAAAAAATCGATGATCTTTCTTATACAAGTGATGCCCCATCATACGACTGCTAGCTATGATAAAGATAAAGATAAAGATAAAGATTATTGCTTATTTTCTATTGGGTGATGATTGAAAACAGGGTTGCTATCTCATCAGATCAGAAAAGTGGAAAATAGCGGAAAGCTGCTTTTTCGAAAATTCTTTTTATCTTCCCAAAAATATTCCTTCTGTAATACTGAAATGACGGTATTGGAACTATCAGTTCACGAGTTTACAAAGGGAATATGCCACTGAAGGCAGCGCCTTTTTGACACAGGACTTTGAAAGTTTATGCGAATAGTGCGGAATCAAAAAATTTTAACCCAGTTTTCACAGCAATATGAGAAATTATATATTTTACCTTTCATATACACGCCAAAGATGATTCCTTTTTGGCACACAAGATAAAAGGTTTGCCCGAAAAACATACACTGTTAAAGATAATGCTTGCTTTTCACAAAACCAAGAGGACAATATCATTTCGTACATACAGTGATCGAATATGACTTCGCTTTCATCTATTATATTAGCAGATGAACAAGAACTCGAAAGAAATTTTCTGTTATTCAATAGCATTTCAAGCCAAGGAGAGCGCATTTCATATTGAAAGCCAAAATGAAGCGGAAGCGTTTTGACAGAAAAATCTATTGGAAAATCTTTTGTGCGAAGCGAAAATTTTACTAGAATTCAAGAAAATTATTTTCTAAGAAACTTTCATCGAGTAGCATCTTATCTAGTTTCTTGTACGCAGAATTGTTCAATAAAAAAAGAAAGTTTGTTTTATTGGTGAAAAAGCGGAAGAGGTGGCAACCCCGATCGAAAACTACTCCAAGCCTTCTATACATTCATGCGAACTATTTAGCATTGAATAAGAAACAGTTTTGACTAATCCAAAAATTCGACAAATTTTCCAATCATTTTTTCGCTTTTCAAAACTAAGGTATTTCGAGCCCACCCTGGTAAAAATTCAGAGGGTCTGAGCTCACCCTAGTCTGAATTCCTGGCGCCGCCTCGACATTCAGTACGATGGCGAGGAGGAGGAGGAGGAGGAGGATGATGATAATGATGTCAGAGGAGAATACAAGCAAGCGCTCGCGCGTCTACTCTCGAAAGAGGAAAGGATAAAAGTGTTTGAATGCACTATCGAATACGGTCAAAACACAAGAAATAATTTGACATTGCAATAAGGATTTTGTAGGCTCAATCGTTTTGTGTTTAGTGAAATTTTCAGTAATAAAACAAATCTAGTACTCTAGTCAATGATTCATTTTTTCTGCATCAGCTGTCTACATTCAAGTTTTAGATTAAAGTAAAAAAGTTTTATCAAAGTATTTGATCATAATTTTATATTTTGATTTATATATTTACTTACATAAAATATATTTATTTCATCGATACGTTTCGCTGACTATGTCAATATAAGTTACCTTATGAATAATCAGCAAATTTTTGGTAACATAAATTCGGTCACCACGCACCTAAACCGTTATTGAAATTGAAGCAAAAATAAATACAGACAATTAGTGCACGTGAGTTACTTCGCTTTTTTCATTCGCCTTCAAGCTTGTGATTTATTTGGCCAAGTAAAAGTTGCATGTAGTATTCTTTGGTGTTTTACTAAAATGAAAAATTATTTTTGAATAATGGGAGCAACACTAAAACCAATAAGACAAATCGATAATAATGCTAATGTATATCCACTTATATGGCTTGACTATACGGTAAATAGATCTCGACAGCATATAAATGATCAAAAATTAATTCGATCTACCATTGATCATTTAAAAACATTTGAAAATGCCAATAAATGTGAATTATATATTCGATCGATATCGAAAGATGAACGAGTTATACTAATTGTCAGCGATAAATTAGCTCGCGATATAATACCACGTATTCATGCGCTTCGGCAAGTTTCTTCAATTTATATTTATTGTTTAGATAAATCTATAAACGAACAATGGATTAAACAGTATAAAAAGGTCAGAGAAACATATTTGGAAAAACAAGTAAACATGCTTTTTCTTCTTCGATGTAGGTGAAAGACATAGTTACGCAACCGAATCAATTAATTGATAGAATTCGATTAGAACGTTCAAGGCGAACTCAAAATCAAACCAATGAAATATTGCCAACAAGTATTTTTCAAACGAATACGTATTATGAACAGTCAAATAATAACTTTAATAATGACTTTATTTATTCACAATTATTAATCGATGCTCTTCTTCAATTAAGACCAATGAAGAATGAGAGAAATAAATTAATTCTTCTATGTAAAGAAAGATATAAAGATGTTCATAGTGAATTACGACTTATTCAAGAATTTGAAAAGAATTATACATCGGATAAAGCAATTTATTGGTATATGAAAGATTCATTTATTTATCAAATATTCAATAAAGCTCTTCGAACACAAAATATTGATTTATTATTTCTTTTTCGATTTTTTATTCATGATATTCGACAAGGAATTCTACAAAATCCATGTATGTCGCCAATTCGAGTTTATCGTAGTCAATTAATGACCAAAGTAGAAATAAATTTGCTAGAAAATTCTATTGGTCGTTTAATTTCAATAAATTCATTTTTTTCAACATATATTCATCGAGAATTCGTTCTAATGATTCTCAATCAATCGTCATCTTCAAATGATCTTGAACAAGTTGTTTTCGAAATTGACGCTAATCCAGAGTTAAATTCAACGAAACCATTTGGTTTTATTCGACCTAATAACTGTTTTCAGCAAATTGAAGAAGTTTTATTTACATTAGGATCTATTTTTCGTTTAACTAAAATTCATCGTCAATCAAATGGACTATGGATTGTACAATTGTCATTGTGTCAAGATAATGATGAACAAATGAATAAAATTTTTCAATCTTTTAAAGAAACAGATAACCACAATAAAATTCATGTAATTTCTTTTGGAAATTTTCTAACAAAACTAGGTAGACTAGATCAAGCTGAAAAATTTCTTACTCGATTACTACACGAACTACCGAATAATCACAAAATTATTGCTGATTGTTATTATGAATTAGGATGTATTGAAATGAAGAAAAATGTCTATGATTATAGTCTTAATTTACATCGAAAATCTTTGGAAATGAAATTAAAAATATTACAAGATAACGATTTAAGTATTGCTGACAGTTATAATAGTATTGCACAGATTTATATGAGAAAATCTGATTATAAACAAGCGCTCCTATCATATTATCAAGGATTAATAATTACTATTCAAGCTAACGGTGAAGATCATTTAAACGTAGCTGTTTGTTACACAAATCTAGCTGGTATCTGCCAAAAACAAGATGATTATGCAGGTGCACTTGAATATTATCAACGAGCATTAAATATTCGCCAACAACATTTATCTATTGATCAATCAGATTTAGGAGTATCACATAATAATATTGCTATTATTTATTCATGCCTTGGTCTATGCGATTTAGCATTAGAACATTATCATATGTCTCTTCGAATTTTACAAAATACACTTCCACCTTTACATCCAGAAATTGCTGTATGCTATTGTGGACTTGGTCTTGTATATGAACAAAAAGGTCAATTAAAAAAGGCATTATCTTGTTATGATAAAACAGTGATTATATATCGTCAAGCTTTATCTTCTACGCATCCACATGTCATACAAATCGAAGCACATATTAAAAAAATATCACCAAAACAAAATAATAATGTTGTATGATTAAATTGAAATTTATTTGTTGTTTCAAGTGAAATTTGAACTAACATACACAGTTTAGTTTATTGATGGAAGTACAAGAAAGAAATATGTTAATTGTAATTTGACAATAAGAATATCGAATCAAGATTTATTATAGCTCATCGATATTTTATCTTTTCTCCCATGATTCATATATTTTAATATTCGGCATGATTTTTCTGTACTTATAATGTATAACTAACCACACTCAATAATAAATATGGCTAACTAATAATTGTAGGGATCTATAAATATCAGTATACAACTTACGTTTAATTTCGTTTTGATTAGAAATGAAAAGCTCGAAATAGACCACTAAAAATAAAAATCATACATAACTTATAATATTAAACTTATTTAGAAATCTTCGTCAATTTAAAAATGTAATTCTTTGGCACTATAAAATGATTCAACTGAAGATAAACTCATCTATGTATGTATGACACTGAAATTACGATCAAATGTATAAATTTGTGATTCTAATGATTGTGTTCCTAAGAAGAATACCATAGCAAGGATGTAATGTTTTTGTGAATTTAGATGAATATATAGGCAAAACAATAATTTTTTATTGTTTACCTCAGCGTATGCATTCTATTATTTAGTTAGTTGAAATTTAGGAAAAAAGGGAATGTTCACCGACGTAAACAAATAAAAATATTTCTGTCAAAGTTTCGAAATCATATAAGAAACAATTCAACAATAAAATCTTTTTAAGATAATCCATCAGGAGCACCACCTTTACGTATATCACAATTAGCCCAATATTCATTAACTTCATCACGCCATTCAATACCTTGTATAACAGAACCTCCAAAAGAACCGCATGTAACATTATGACCACGGTTTTTCAAGTTTTGTAATATTTCCTAAAATTCAAATAAAGAAAAAAAGTACTGAATCATGCTTGATGAAAAATATTCTTACAGGATCAAATCCACTTTCAGCAATAACTTCTTGTGGTAATAGCTGTGAATGAAGACGAGGTGCATCAATAGCTTGCTTTATATTTTGATTGAACCATAGATTAAGCATAGAAACTTGCGCTATAGATGTTGTTATCCTTGTACCACCGCTAGCACCTAGTGCTTGCTGAATACGTTGACTTTGTTTTTCTATTACAACTAACGGAGCCATAGATGAAACAGGTCGTTTTCCAGGTGCTATAAAATTCGCTGGACTCGCTGGAACACCAAATGAATTTATTGTATTTGGAGTCGAAAAGTCATCCATCTGATCGTTGTAAATGATATCTGTTTCAGGGCCTAGAACTTTTGAACCGAAGCTAATGGAGAAAAAAACATCATCACTCGCAATTCAAACAGCTACTTGAATCATACTAGAGATTAACAGTTGATGTTAATGCAACAGCATCTCCATCAAGTCCCACGACAGATAAATGAGCTGTACCAGTTCTTATTCTATCTTCCCATGTTCCACCGTAATATTGATAACCAAATGTTGTATTATCACTACATACATAGGAAACAGAAAATATGAATTCAATTTTCTTTATTGACATACCGAATTCGTGATCGTATATCATCCGCATAATCTTTTGATGTTAAATTACGAATAAGCTAAAATTTATTTACTATTGATGAAAATCAGAAATAGTCAAAGTTGCAAACTACTTCAGTAATGTTTATCTTGGATGGATCACCGATTTCACTTCTTTTCGCATAAGCAAATTTAAACGCTTCAATAAGACGATGATAAAAGAGAGCAGATGGATTCGATGTTTTGAAATTGCCTTGATCGCTTTGAAAACCTGGTTGGAAACAGACAAAAGCCAAAATTTCCTACAGATCTAACTAAACAGAAGAATCTCAATACCTTGAAGAATATTTAAAATAAAAGTTAGAATGGGACCGCTGGTTGGTGCATGTGTTGTATATGCAGTATATGTATTATTAATATCAATACTTAATGCTTCTTGAAAATCAACATTGAACTGTGCAAGATCTTGTTTTGTTATGATACCACCTCGATCTTGAATTTCTTTCACAATTTTATCAGATAATTCACCAGTATAAAAAGCGTCAGCACCTTGATTAGCTACTATTTCAAGTGTACGAGCTAATTTTGGTCGTCGCATTATATCTCCAGCGCCATATAATTCGTTTGTAGTCGAATTTTTTACAAACAGTTGTCTGAAAAGAAAATATTACTCGATTTTGTTTTTATTTGAATTTATTAGTTAGAAACCTCAATGCAGGATCATCAAGAATAACACGTGTTGTTTGTTTAATAGCTGCACCTTGGGATTCACTAATACGGAAACCTTCTCGGCATAATTGAATCGTGGGTTCAAATAGTTCTTTCCATGTTACACCTCCGCCAAATAGTTGATAGGCTTTTTCATAAGCTCGCAAGTCACCTGGTACACCAATGGCTAATCCTCCTTCAATATAAATCTTGTATCTCGGTTTTCTATTTAAATAAATTCTTACCAGTTACCGACATATTTTCTCGGCCAACAAACATTGTGGAATTAGCAGCTAATGGTGCTTTTTCTCTCTGTAGAATAATATTTTTATTGCAGAATAAAGTTTCCTTTTTCTTAATTGTGTTTTAAAACTTACTCCAATAATACTATAGGCCGTGTTGTTTTTCCTACGAATTATATTTTAAAGTATTTTCGAAAGCAAAATGAACAAAACTCTCTTTGTTTTACTTTGAGTAAATTGTTATAACACATCCACCACCAATACCCATCGAATGTGCATTCATAACACCATCGCAAATAGCTGCAGCTAAAGCAGCATCCATTGTCGTACCATTTTTTTCCAAGATGACACGACCAATTTTTGAGCATTCAGCACTATCGACAGCTACAGCTGCTCGAGAATATTTTCCCAATATAGATGAACCATTGATAACATAAGTTTCATGACTAGAGCTACAGACACCCTCGCGGATAGTTGAATTAGTTGTACCTATAGCAATGGAATACAGCGTCGATAAAGTCATCGGAAAGCTTAGGTCTGTGTAAAAATTCATAGCTCCATTAAAGTGTGAACCGAAAATCAATTCAGAACAAAATGTTAGAGTTAGTTCCGAATGTTATTGTGAAACTATTTCCGTTTGAAATCTAACATGCAGTACTGTGTATGAACAGATTAGGAATTGAGTGAAGCTGTTCCTAGACGAGCTTGAATATTATTCGTGCTTGTCGGTCCAACCCATCAATTTTGCTAAAACAGAAGCTCTGTTCAGCGCCCGTGCAATAGGATCGCCTAAGTTTGACATTGCTTTCAGTTCACGCAGCGAAGTAGCGATCAACTGGGCCGATGAGTTTAAGTACTTGGGGTACTGGATCACTCCCAAGATAGGGTGGGGTGTTATGATTAAGAAAACGATGACGAAGATACGTCAACGTGTAGCCCTTAGTAGATCGTTCAAACTTAATGGTTGTTCTTCCCCCAGCTTAGACAGGCTCTGTTCGCTTCATTTATTCTCCCACTGTTTTCATGGATATTTCCACTCTTTTCAGATAAGCAAAGGCAAGATTTATCGCAGTTTTACTTCACGTGCTTACGTAGAGTCTCGTTTGCTGCACAATGGAACGAAGTCTTTTTCGCGTATGCAATGTACATGAAGTCACTTGAGGATCGGTGCTTATCATATTGGGAAAACTATTTGATTGCATTAGCCGACTCTACGGACGGCGAACTTCTCCTAGAGAAAGCCAACATTAATGAGTTCAGACAAGCCTGGCTAGAAGGAGAATTCCCTCTGAAATGTCTCAGAAGATAGAAGAGATTCATCAGCCATACATCAATTATCGGAAAAATCATGTCATGGCTCAGGTCGGCCCCTGGCTCTTCTTCTATTCCCTTCTTCGAGATGGAAGAAGTTCAACTTCTCCAAGACTATCCTGAAACATTCTGATCCCCGCATATTGATAACTCGCTTATTTCTGTTCCTGTTCCTTACTGTGGTGCAACGCAGTTTCTCTTTCTCTTTCAGAGTGACTCTTTTTTGTTATTGTCTTCATTGTTTGTTTTAATTGTTGTTTCAGTCACTGTTGTTTATGTTTATATCGTCTTCTGGTTATAACTTTATATCTTCTCTCCACCATTTTCTCATTTATTCATTTTCATTTTTTTTCTTTTCTTCTCTATTCCCGGTGCTGGAAGGATCTTTCTCGGATCACAGCTTTGCTGCAT